TATAAATGCAGTCCTGTTCCTAGGAACCAACTAATACACTAAAATTCTTTTTTATTTTTAGTGGTTCTCCCTCCAGTTTTCTTGTTTTATATAAATGTGAGAAGGGTGTATGTCAGGCAGTCATAAGTAAAGGGGTCACCTATATAGGATATACACAAGGAATATGATCACAACACAAAACACTCCAGCATAAAAAGAATAGGTTCACTACTATGCATGAAACTAAAAAGGCAAGGCTAATGAGAGAGAGGCATCTCAGAAACCATTTTAACATAAGATTGGGAATGAAGATTAACACAAAAGGACTCCAAACTAGTTAATAAAGTTAAAACAAACTTATTTCATGTCAGTTAAAAGTAAAACAATTACAAATAGGTAATTAAACAACTGTTAACCATTCCAGCATTATTCACCTACTGTATATGGCCTGTAAACTACTTTCAACTGATAAACTCCTACCATATTTATTATTTCACTGGATAACTCCATAATTTCAAAAACAAATCTTTCCCTCCACAATCCAAAGATAAAAAATACTACAACCACAACCGTGCCAACATTCCCTCGATACACATACCATAGAACCACCAAACACCAAAGCCCCACCACATACACCAATCACAAGAAGAACAAACTATGACATCCAAACTGCTAAAATCATGTCTATACTGGCCAGGTAGGAACATAAGTCTATGTATAGAAATATAAATGAGATTACAGAGAAACACAAAGGGTAAAAAAAAAATTCGAGACTTTTGGAAACATGGAAACTAAGTTATCCAAAATAAAGGCACCCATTTTTTTTCTAAGGAGTGTTGCCCAAGGAGAAATTCAAGAAAAGAGCAAGTGAGGGGAGTTAGACTCCTCAAAAATAGACAGATTCAAAGAAATGCTAATTTCAGATTACAGTAATACTTCAATTACTTAGGAAAGCACAAGGGTTTTTGCAGATATAATTTACAGCATATCACTAAATGCAAGACCCTGGCTCAAGAAATCGTAATGACACGATTGCAAACAAACCATGGTACAGGCTGGGACTGAACTCACAATGAGTCATAAAACCCTGACAAGACCCTGACAGAAATGTGATAGTAGTAATGAAGTAACAATAAACATCATTAAGAAATTTACAAACGCAGCAGTCAAAGCCAGAGCTAAAGTGCTAAGAGCAGAGGATTGTAACAATAGAGGTAAACTGGACGAGATGGAAGAAACATGGGGACCCTGAGATGTGGAGGAGCAAGCTACATATTAGAGAATATGTAATGAATCAAAGTAGCATGACATGGAGAGCATATAAATCTGTAGGGAAAGGAAGGTGGGGTAGAGGTCGTCCTCGAAAAGGTTGGAGGGAGGGGGTAAAGGAGGTTTTTTTGGGCGAGGGGTTTGGACTTCCAGAAAGTGTGCATGAGCGTGTTACATAGGAGTGAATGGAGACAAGTGGTATTTGGGACCTGATGAGCTGTTGGAGTGTGAGCAGGGTAACATTTAGTGAAGGGATTCAGGGAAACCGGTTATTTTTATATAGCCGGACTTAGAGTCCTGGAAATGGGACGTACAGTGCCTGCACTGTAAAGGAGGGTCTTGGGATATTGGCAGTTTGGAGGGATAAGCTGTTTATCTTTATACATATGTGCTTCTAAACTGTTGTATTCTGAGTGCCTCTGCAAAAACTGTGATTATATGTGAGTGAGGTGAAAGTGTTGAATAATTATGAAAGTATTTTCTTTTTGAGGATTTTCTTTCTTTTTTGGGTCACCCTGCCTCGGTGGGAGACGGCCGACTTGTTGAAAAAAAAAAATGTAATGAATGTGTGTCAATGTTGAAAGGAAACCCAAAAGAAGCCTAGAAAAACAAAATTGGATTTTTTACATTATCACATCCAGTCGAAGTCATCTTCAGCATAATGAACACTGAATATCTTCAGTTAAAGAGGACCTCAACTAAGACATCAACATATACAAACGAAATCCATTCGTGAGTTTTCTTTTGGTGTGTCCTTTTAAATGTTAAGGAACACAAGGAATTAAGAGGAAGTAACAGTTCAATGGGGTTTAATCTTATTTTCACTTCTTGAGAGGAAGATTAAACAAACTGAATGCAGAGTGATAAAGTGACCCCTGTGTTGACATTCTCCTACCTAGATGAAATCTGAGATGTGGAATAGCAGAAAATGATATACAGGAAATATGACTAATGAGACTCTTTTGACGAATAGCGGAAAGATGAATTTAAAACACTCCACTAAGTAAGTTGAAAGTTCTACCAACCTGCAGGGCAATAGTTAAGGAATAGAGGAAGAATCCATTGTTCAATCAACACTGTAAGGAGGCATAAACTAGAAAAAGAAAAGCATGGAAAACTGAAGAGTAAAGCTAGTATACAAAACATTGTTTATCGTTGGGTGAACAGTGGTGTTCCCAATATTGCTCCTAGTGTCTTTCCAGGATGAAGAGGGCAGACTTCAGTAATGAATGAGCAAACTGTTACCGAAGCCTTACCCCCCACAATGCAAAGTAAGGAAGCTGGACGATAAAGAAATGAGACCAAAGCAAGAGTACTACTGGTCATTTAACAGTTAAGAGAGACCTAAAATATCTCACCCTAAAGAAAAACAATCTGATTTATACAATAATATCAAGAAATCTTTCAATTTAATCAACACATAATTTAGAAGAAAAAACATTACTTATTAACTTATTGAAAGTCACACAAATTAAAAAAAATGTTGGAGGATGGTAGATAGCAACCCCCCAGGGAGGTACTACCATACTGCCAAGTGAGCATACAACAGAAGCCTGTATTTGTTTAACATGATGGTAGGATTGCTGGTGTCTTTTTTTGTCTCACAAACATGCAAGATATCATGTACGTCTTGCTACTTCTACTTACAATTAGGTCACACTACACATGCATGTACATGTTTATGTATACACACTCATCTGAGATTTTCGTTGATTGTATCTTAATAGTTCTTGCTCTTATTGCTTTTCCTTTTATATCCATGGGGAAGTGGAATAAGAGTCTGTCCTCCGCAAGCCATGCTTGTTGTAAAAGTCAACTAAAATGCCGGGAACAATGGGATAGTAACCCCTTTTCCCAAATAGCCTACTAAAAAGAAAAAGAAGAAACTGTCAAAGTGAGATGTTTGAATGTGCGTGGTTGTAGTGTGAATGATAAGAAAAAGATGACTGTGGATGTTATGAATGAAAAGAAGCTGGATGTCCTGGCTACAAGTGAAATAAAGCTGAAGTAAGTAGGAGAGTTTCAGTGGGGATAAATAAATGGGATTAGGTCAGGGGTTTCTAATAGAGTTAGAGCAAAGGAAGGAGTAAGTTATGGCAGGAAAAGAAGGAATATAAATGTATAAAGTCAAGGATTATGTAGAGTAAAATAAGGGTTGAATGTGAAAAGTAGGTTATAGTAAGTGTTTATGCACCTGGAGAAGAGAGAAGTGTAGAGAGAGAGGGATTTTGGGAACTGTTGAGAGGGCATGGGAGTTTTGAACCAAGTAAGAGAGTATTTGTGGCTGGGGATCTCAATGCTAAAGTGGGTAAAAATGTGAAAGAGGGAGTAATACGTAAATTTGGGGTGCCATGGGTAAATGAAAATGGGGAGCCTTCAATTGAACTGGGTGCAGAAAGAGGTTTGGTAATAAGTAATACATATTTTATGAAAAAGAGGATAAATACATATACAAAATACGATATCACACGTAATGAAAGTAGTTTGTTAGATTATGTATTGGTGGATAAAAGATTGATGGGTAGGCTTCAGGGTGTACATGTTTATAGAGGGACAACAGATAAATCGGATCCTTATCTAGTTCTAGCTACAGTTATAGTAAGAGGTAGATGGGGCAAAAGGAAAATGGCAGTGGAGATGTCCTGTCTAAGAGCAATGTGTGGTGTGAATATTATGTAGAAAATTCGGAGTGTGGAAATTAGGAGAAGGTGTGGAGTTAATAAAAGTATTAGTCAGAGGGCTGAAGAGGGGTTGTTGAGGTGGTTTCGTCATTTAGTGAGAATGGATCAAAGTAGAATGACATGGAGTGCATATAAATCTGTAGGGGAAGGCAGGTGGGGTAGGGGTCGTCCTCAAAAAGATTGGAGGGAGGGGGGTAAAGGAGGCTTTGTGGGAGAGGGGCTTGGACTTTCAGCAAGCATGCGTGAGTGTGTTAGATAGGAGTGAATGGAGATGAATGGTATTTGGGATCTGACGAGCTGTTGGACTGTGAGCAGGGTAATATTTAGTGAAGGGATTCAGGGAAACTGGTTATTTTTATATAGTCGGACTTGGTATATGCTTTTAAACTGTAGTGTTCTGGGCACCTTTGCAAAAACAGTGATTATGTATGAGTGAGGTGAAAGTGTTGAATGATGATGAAAGTATTTTCTTTTTGGGGATTTTCTTTCTTTTTGGGTCACCCTGCCTCGGTGGGAGATGGCCAACTTGTTAAAAAAAAAAGTATAATTATATATGTAGTGGCTATCAAAACAAGTAGATAAAACTGATATGTATAAATTGTTTAATAATTATGTTTGTCATTATTTATGCCATGCATAGATAAACTACCTCAGCCAACTGAACAATTTCAAACATTCAACTGGAGCCAATTTCTTGTCTTGAAGCAAGCCACATTATGTTGCCCTTTCTGTAGTGTTAAACAAATATCAAGCTATTTAATCAACACAGAAACAGACAAGTGAAAGAGTCAACATTTAAAGAGAAATTGAATTATCAACCTGTTAAACTTACGAGCAACTGATTACTGTTTGCAGACTAAAAACTTTTTTGAATATAGCCCATGAGTGAATAATTCAACTTCAATAACTCTCCACTCCAAATTTGTGCATGTTTATTTATGAACAAACAGGCAAACCACTACGGCAAAAAGAAAAAAAAAACTATTATCAATAATTCATCATACTAATTACTAAACTTTCAGGATATCTGCAAGAAAAACAATGTGATGAAACCATTAGTAAAGTACTTACCCTTGACAGTTTTCAATGTACTATTACTTTGAGGAGCCATGTAAGGTGGAGAGGATGCTGTAGGAGGAGAATAATAAACAGTAGCATCGTTTGAGTCTTCACTCTCAGAAGAATCGAACATCTGGGGTGAACCTACACCTGAGGAAGAACTCAAGTAGCATTCAGTTTCACTGTCAGAACTAGAAAGCCTTTCAGCACGTTTTCTCATAACAGCTTCCATCTCTGGGGTAAATTGCGATGGAATGTCTTCTGAGGCGGGGCTACTTTTGTTACTGTAGCAGTTACTGTCAATAAAAAAAAAAGTTTGTTGTAAATTTACAAAGCACTGGAACAGATTCATTATTCAGCACAATAAACATTCATCTTTAACCCTTTCACTGCCCTCACATAAACCAGAGTCATTGACACCAGTGTCAAGTAGATCTAAGTTTTAAGAACAGCACCCTCAAATATGTTGCGAGTGGTTAATTTTTGCCTAGACAGGAGAGAATGAGTCTGGGTAGTAAGTGCACATAATATGTATGTATATGTGGGCAAATTTGGGAGGGTATGTAAAGGAAGTTTAAAGTGAACACAGATAAGAGCAAGGTGATGAGGGTATCAAACAAATTAGATAAGGAAAAACTGGATTTCAAAGTAAAGGGAGGGAGTATGGAAGAAGTGAATGCGTTCATATATTTGCGAGTGGATGTGTTGGCAGATGGGTACATGAAAGGAAGAGGTAAACCATAGAACTAATGAAGAGAATAAGGTGGTTGGTGCATTGAGGTATCCATGGAGACGAAGAACGTTATCCATGGAGGCAAAAAAGGAAATGTATTACAGTATAGTGGTACCAACACTCTTACATGGGTGTGAAGCATGACTTGGATGTATAAATCTGTAGAGGAGGGAAGGAGGGGTACAGGTCATCCTAGGAAAGGATGGAGGGAAGGGTAAGAGAGGTTTTGTATGCAAGGGGCCTTTACATACAACAGGCATGTGTGAACATTTTAGATGGAAGTGAGTGGAGACAAGTGTTTTTTTGTGACTTGATGAGCTGTTGGAGTGTGAGCAGGGTAATATTTTGTGAAGGAATTCAGGCTAACCGGTTAGCTGGAATCAAGTATTGGAGGTGGGAAGTACGGTGCCTGCACTCTAAAGGAGGAATTTGGGACATCTGCTGTTTAAAGGGACATCTAAACTGTTGTATCTGCACACCTCTGGGTGGTTGCTGTCCATCACCTCCCACCGAGGCAGGGTGACCCAAAAAATTTCACCATCACTCACATTATCAGTCTTTGCAGAGGCACACAGATACGACAGTTTAGATGTCACTCTAAACAGGAAATGATGGGGAAACACAAACTTCTGATCTTATGATTAGTTTAGTTTAAAATAGTGAATCTGAAGTGTTTGAGGATGGTTTTTATGGTTCGTTTTTTTTTTTGTATTAACCCTTTCAGGGTCCACAGGCCCTCTCAGAGACTTGTTCTCAGGGTCCCCCAAATTTCAAATTTCAAAAAAAAAAATCTTACGAAAAGATAGAGAATCTTTTCCTGATCATAATGACACCAAAAGTATGAAATTTTATGGAAAACGTACAGAATTATGCTCTCGCAAAGTTAGCGGTCTCGTGATGTTTATGCATCGGCGATTCTGCCCACTTTGAGCCCTATTTTCGGCCAATTCCAGTGTACTAGTCGACAAAAAACATACCTATTTAGCTAGAACTCCATTTTTTCTATCAAACGAGTACAAGAAACCAGTCATTTACTGATTTCAACTATCCAATACAGTGGTCAGAATTTAGCAATTTTGCCAATTTCACACAAATTTCAAAAGATGCCAATTTCCAAATAGTGTCCACAATAAACAATAAAGACATTCCTGGCACTAAAATAACATTTCCTCTGTTCATTAGTCACGTCCCCACACCCCTCTTACATTCTTTTCCTTTCCATTTCGAATTTTTTTCTCACAAAAAATAGAAGATTTACTGTTATGTAGACTACTGCATTAGTGTAGAAATGGTATAAATAATATCAGCGCACTTGTGAAAGAATATTAGACTCGCCAGCTGACGTGTATTGGACGCGTGGCATGATTTGTTTACTTTTGAACTTTGGCAAAAATCGAACATTTCTGCTACTTTGAGCTCAATTTCAAGGTACTTTTCATTGAGAAACCAATCAAAATCATCTCAATTTCTGTAATATGTCTTTCATTCTATAAAATAAGACCAAGAAAACTAGAATACAACCATAAATACCATATGAAAATACAGTGCAAAGTCGCTGTTTTAAACCAAAAACATGGTCAAAGTTTTTTTTTTCTCATTACGCACTGTGTGCTGCAGGATTTTTTTTATACTGTGCACACTGACCACATAGACCCATTCTTTCATATGTAGGCCTAGCAGCTTTCTCTCACTAGATTTGAAGGCGCTAGAATTTATGAGTACTAGTACGTCAAGGACCCTGGCGCATACGCGTACAGTACTAGCCGAAACTAAAGCACCAAATAAGACATACTCCATGAAGGGAAAGTTTTGGTATCAATGAATTGCAGCGTTGTAGCCACCGAAAGCAAAATAATACGAATTCAGCTGTTTTGACAAAGGGAGTTCCCTCCTTACACCCTTATTCCATTTTTGCTTAGGTATTTAGAAGTAGATCATTAATTGATCACATTATGTATATGGACTTCAGTAAGGCTTATGCAGGTTCCACATCAAAGATTAGGAAAATTAAAGACAGGAATAGAGGAGAAATTTTTTCCTGATAAGGCTGGTTGACAAATAGGCAGCAAAGAGTTTGCATAAATGGGAGAAATCAGAGTGGGGAAGCGTCACGACGGTGTTCCACAGGGGTCAGTGTTGGGCCCCCTGCTGTTCACAATCTACATAAACGACATAGATGAGGGCATAAAGAGCGACATCGGCAAGTTTGCCGATGACACCAAAATAGGCCGTCGAATTCATTCTGACGAGGACATTCGAGCACTCCAGGAAGATTTGAATAGACTGATGCAGTGGTCGGAGAAGTGGCAGATGCAGTTTAATATAGACAAATGCAAAGTTCTAAATGTTGGACAGGACAATAACCATGCCACATATAAACTAAATAATGTAGATCTTAATATTACGGATTGCGAAAAAGATTTAGGAGTTCTGGTTAGCAGTAATCTGAAACCAAGACAACAGTGCATAAGTGTTCGCAATAAAGCTAATAGAATCCTTGGCTTCATATCAAGAAGCATAAATAATAGGAGTCCTCAGGTTGTTCTTCAACTCTATACATCCTTGGTTAGGCCTCATTTAGATTATGCTGCACAGTTTTTGGTCACCGTATTACAGAATGGATATAAATTCTCTGGAAAATGTACAAAGGAGGATGACAAAGATGATCCCATGTATCAGAAACCTTCCCTATGAGGATAGACTAAGGGCCCTGAAACTGCACTCTCTAGAAAGACGTAGAATTAGGGGGGATATGATTGAGGTTTATAAGTGGAAGACAGGAATAAATAAAGGGGATGTAAATAGTGTGCTGAAAATATCTAGCCTAGACAGGACTCGCAGCAATGGTTTTAAGTTGGAAAAATTCAGATTCAGGAGGGATATAGGAAAGTACTGGTTTAGTAATAGAGTTGTGGATGAGTGGAACAAACTCCCAAGTACCGTTATAGAGGCCAGAACGTTGTGTAGCTTTAAAAATAGTTGGATAAATACATGAGTAGATGTGGGTGGGTGTGAGTTAGACCTGATAGCTTGTGCTAACAGGTCGGTTGCCGTGTTCCTCCCTTAAGTCAATGTGACCTGACCTGACTAGGTTGGGTGCATTGGCTTAAGCCGGTAGGGACTTGGACCTGCCTCGCATGGGCCAGTAGGCCTTCTGCAGTGTTCCTTCGTTCTTATGTTCTTATGTTCGTTCTTATAAGCCGTACTAGTACAGCCGAAACCCTGAAAGGGTTCACTGACAGAATGGAAGACATACTACTGAAAGAGAGTTTTGGTTGGTTTCAGGACTGATAGCAGCTTGAAACTGGACTCAAGATAGCAGAAAATTAGGTAGAATATTTTCCTGAGGACAGGTAAGGCCCTCTACAACCCCTCTCTCCATCTCTGGCATGTTTTAGGGGTTTTACTAAGTCTGATTCAATTATTGGGACACCATAATTCATGACCAATTATTCTTGGTTATTCGTTATCCATGGAGGCAAAGAAGGGAATGCACGAAAGTATAGTGGTACCAACACACTTGTATGGGTGTGAAGCTTGGGTTGCAAATGCTGCAGCAAGGAGGCGGCTGGAGGCAAGTGGAGATGTCCTGTCTAAGGGCAATGTGTGGTGTAAATATTATGCACAGAATTCAGTGAGAAAATCAGGAGGAGGTGTGGAGTTACTGAAAGTATTAGTTAAGGGCTGAAGAGGGGTTGAGGTGGTTTGGTCATTTAGAGAGAAGGGATCAAAGTAGAATGACATGGAGAGCGTAAAAATCTATAGAGGAAGGAAGGTGGGGTGGCTGTTGTCCTCGAAAAGGTTGGAGGGAAGGGGTAAAGGAGGTTTTGTGGGTGAGGGGTTTGGACTTCCAGCAAGCATGTGTGAGCATGTTATACAGGAGTGAATAGAGACGAATGGTTCTTGGGAACTGATGAGCTGGAGGAATGTGAGCAGGGTAATATTTAGTGAAGGGACTCAGGAAAACTGGTTATTTTTATATAGATGGACTTGAGTACCGGAAATGGGAAGTACAATGCCTGCACTTTAAAGGAGGGGTTTGGGATATTGGCAGTTTGAAGGGGTATGTTATATATGCTTCTAAACTGTTGTATCTGAGCACCTCTGCAATGACTGATTATGTGTGAGTGAGGTGAAAGTGTTGAATGATGATGAAAGTATTTTCTTTTTGGGAATTTTCTTTCTTTTTGGGTCACCCTGCCTCGGTGGGAAACGGCCAACTTGTCGAAAAAAAAAATATCAAAGAAAGGTTCAATCTAAAAATTGTGCAATGATGAATTTAAAATGGGCAAGTGTAATATAGGAGAGGCCTTAGTATGTGAGTAATGATCAGAGGAAATGTTTTATGGCTTGGAATGCTTAGTGTTTATTTTGGACTGGTATTAAACTGGAATTCCTTTAATTTTGTGTAAAATTTCCCAAGTACTGACTGTTCACTTTATACAGTAGCAGTGATAGTTGCTCAGTCAATATAACCAGACATACTGTACTAGCAAAATAGCTAAGAATATAGTCAAACTGAGCAATAGAACTAACTTTAAATAGGACTCAAGAGTGGGTAAA